CATGAAGGGCGCGTTTGTATTTGACAATGTGTGACCGTGCTTATCCCAAGAAACTTGCCTTTCAGTATTTAGAGGATCTCAAGAATGAATTTGAGCGTGTTAACGGGAATCAAATTGAAACTGCGGCCCGACTTTATGCATTCATTAAATTTGGTAGGTATTACATAATTTATTTGTATTTGTCAGATGTACTAGCTATTATTGAATGTTGTTTCCTGTGCTTCCTAATTTTTCTTCTAAAAAAGTTTCCTGTGCTTCCCTTGCTGGTCTTGATTCCTTTTTCTTTTTTGTTTTCTTTTTCCCATTTGATTTAAAGATACCTTCATACAGAAAACCAAGAAATTGTACCAAGATACTCGTACTCAACGAAATATTGCCAAATTGAATGATGAACTCTATGAGGTCCACCAGATAATGACTCGCAATGTGCAGGATGTCCTTGGTGTTGGTGAAAAGTTGGATCGTAAGATCTCTCTCTCATCTTTAGACAGTTGCTTTTTAGTTGTGTTGTTGCTATTATATGAGAAGACTAATGCAGATGTTAGGTCAGGGTTCAAATATATTTATCACTTTAGCAATCATTTACCTGATTCTGTTTTATTTACTGATATTGAGTAAAAGAATTAGTGAATGTTCAATATCTGTAGTTGAAATAGTTTTCTTAAGTAATCTGCATTTTGTTTGAGATAACAGAATCAAAGAAGTCTGGTGTTGATATTGTGTGTTTTTAGTAACTGTTAATGCCCAAATTGCTTTTCTGTAAGTTATTCAAATTTTACTTGATTGACTGTGATTGTGAGTTATGCTTGCCAGTGGAAAATAACATCTATCTAGAGAGTCTATTCCAATCCTCCTAGTCTGCAAATAAACATTTTTCTCTATTGTTGGTTGATTTTGTTGGTAACCAGACTTTAAGAAGTTTACCAGACAATTCTTTAGCATGCCACTAAATACTCTGTTAAGTCGTGCCCCAAATTATTGCTCTGTTCAATTTGTGATGATACATTAGGGATCGCTATGACATTTTGGGAAGTGCTGTTTGGGGATTTAATTCATTCGAAAACAAAAAGATTTGGAATCTATAATGCAAGGCTCTCTCTTTCTCTCTCTCTTTGTATCTGTTTGTCTGCGAGTCAACATGCCCATAATGTTTTCAGCATGCTGTTTGTTATAATGCAGAGGTCAGCCAAATGTCCAGCAGGTTAACATCGGAATCACGAATATATGCTGAAAAGGCAAAAGATTTGAACCGACAGGTCAGTTACCTCAGATTTATGGAATAAATGCAGCTGTTTGGAATCATTCTCTTGCATTATCGCGGTTATGTTTTTATGCTGTTTATTTGGCATCTGGATATCATTCTAATTTTATTTCAAATGTGCCATGGATCTTGCAAAATTTGGTATTCCTGCATCTTACACTAGATTACATATTTTGTCTGTATGAAGTCTTTTTTTTATAATGTTTGTAAAATTAGTCTCTTTACTTTCAAAAGTTCTCACGTTTTTTTTTCTTCCACACAATCCAAAAAATAAGTGGAATAAGGAACAAATGCCTTTTTTTTTTACAAAAACCCGTCCACACCAACAGCTCTCTACTCACTTTATCAGCCATAACCCAATTTAATCCCAACAAACCCAAAACAGTGGTCCAGATGCTGTATGTCGTCGGACAAGTCAACAATAAGAGGTTGCACGTTTCCACATCAGATTTGCAGAGGTAACATCTATTAACCTTAGTGCTACCTTTCCCTTTTAGTATATCAATAGTCAAAATACATTTGCAGTTTCCCAAGTAAGAAATGCCATTCTAGGAGGGGCTCTTGTATTCCATATTTGCTTGAAAGGTGCTGTTTTGCTACCACTGTTATCACTCATACAAAGAGACTTGTACATCGCCTTCACTGAAAACCCTTCTATCTCATCAAGCTTCCAAACCCTTTTATCTCTGTCATCATTCAGCTTCATGCTGTCCAGACACAATAACAGATTGCTATAATCATTAATTTCCCAATCCCGTAAGTTTCTTTTCACTTTCACATTCCAGGCTTTCCCCTCCCCCACATTCTCATACATCTCCTTCACCTTAGCCTCCTTATCACAGGCAATGTCAAAGATTCTGGTAAAACGATCTTTTAGCTTAAAATTTCCCATCCATTCATCCTGCCAAAAACTGATAGGATCAGTACCTAACTGCCAACCAACACAGCCCTTGAAAGAATAGCTGTCATCCCTAATTTTCTTCCATAAGCTCATCCCATGCGGTTTGAATCTACCCCTCCTACCTCTCTCCTTCTCCCAATCACCCCATCTGACATGCATCACCTTCCTCCACAACCTCTCGTCTTCCACAAGAGATCTACACAACCATTTCCCATAAAGGGCACGGTTTAACTCCCTAATTGATCTTAAACCGAGACCCGGCTCGCAAACCGGCTTCTTCACCTCCTCCATCTAAGCAAATGATATCTTCTATTATCCTCCTCATCCCCCCAAAGGAACCTACATTGGGTATTTTCAAGTTTAGTCACAATGCTGGTTAGAATGGTTAAAATAAAAAGGTAATATATAGGTAAGTTTGTCATGTTCTTTTTATCAAGGTAAGTCTACTCTCTTTAGAAAGAAAATTTCTCTTCTATCCAGCGAATCTTTTTTCAAACATCTCCACAATAGGCTCCCAAGTTTTTACATCTTTAAATTTTGCCCCAAGAGATTTATTTCAAAAAAATAATTTTGCCCCAAGAGGTAAGCCAAGATATTTAATTGGAAATGTCGTTGTCTTACGTCCCAACACCAAAGCCAAACTCTCCTCTTCCCCTCTATAACCAATTCTAACCAATTTCGTCTTCCGCATGTTTATTTTAAGACCGGAAACCATTTGAAAACAAAGAATGATGCACTTCAAGTGAAGCATCGCATTGACAGTCGGTTCACAAAAAATTAAGGCATCATCCACAAAAAATAGATGAGAAATCCTCACCCTTTCCTCCCCCCTCCCCACATCCACTCCCTTCAACAAATTCAGCTCCCGTGCCCTCAATTAGGCAGGGGCCATGCGAATGCAGGCCCCCTCTACTACAAACTATGACGCAGGCTCTCCCTCTTGGGGAGACCTTAAGCATAAGGCCCCTGCGTAGTGCAATGCAGGTCCCTAGCCTAGGCCATAAGCCTTCCTGACCGCTTATTGACACCGCCCAGATAAGTATATGAAGTTATTACAGTACTTCCAATAGTAAGCTGAACTTTATTACTCTGTGTCAGGAGCCTTAGTCATAAGCTCTGTTCGAGTGATTGGTTGTTGGTAGTGTAATTTGTGATTTAGGGTTTCAACTAGACATTAGGGTTTGTGTTGAGAAGATAGAATAGTGAGAGAGAGAAACAAAGAGAACAAAGAAAGACGAGTTAGGGAGTGAGAGAATTCCGCAGGTGACTGTCGATTATAAAATTCATTTGAGAATGTTTTTCCATACTGATTCCTTCTCACCAGGTTTTCTGTGCTCATCTTCGTACTATCCATAACAACCATGACAAAAATAAAGGAAAGTCTGGAAATAACTAACAGTAGCCTAGGGGGAATAACAAGAAACAGAAAGATTCTTCTGCTCTAACTAATCAGGTTATTAGCAATGATATGCAAAATATTGAGCTAGATACTGCTGAGCTGCCGCCAGCTCATTCCTTTACACTTGTAGCTCTAGTTCTCCTCTGATAAACCGTGAGAGGTTTGTTTATGGTTTCAGATGGAACTGCTGGTAGCGCAGGCCTTACATCCTGTTACAATTAGACTTTTCCTGGTCCTTGCTTTGTAAGGAGGGTAGCTATTATATATATACATATATATGTATATATATAATTGCATAATAAAAGAATCAAAGCTGGAAATTATGATTGTTTCCTTCTTTTAACCTTTTAAATTATTCATTTTTTGTTGAAATGACTGGCACAATCTGCATTTGACTTGTTTTATCCTATGATTTTGAATCATGATAAAGGGTTTTGTTAATAGTAATGTTTGTGTCTACAAACATCAATATGTGCCATGCTGGAGAAAAGAGCATATGGTGAATATTTGTTTCTTAGTTCTGCCTATGATCTTAGTTCAGTTTGTGATGAAGGTGAAATTGATACCATAGTTTGGTCAAAGTTCACTCTGAAATTTTGCTTGCTTTGTTTTCAAGTTACGATGCTTAAAGCTCACTTCTAGCTATAGAAAAACTATGGGAATGGTCCTTGGGTCCTTGCGAAACAATATTTGTCTTTAATTCTTAGTTTTATTCTATATTTATAATCTGGATTTCATTTTTTCTTTGTTGACTTGATTGCTTCTTTTCTTTTCTTTCTCCCTCCTTCTGATTGTAATAATGAGTTGATGTGGTAGATACAGCTGAAAATTGTCTTCATTATCTACTTTGACATATTGACTGCAGGCTCTCATTCGGAAATGGGCTCCTGTTGCCATAGTGTTGGGAGTCGTCTTCCTTCTCTTCTGGGTCAAGACGAAGATATGGTGATCCTGCCACCTTTCTGGATTTTGGAAATTAGTTGAACCTTCTTCCTGTGTTTGATTCCATTGCTATGGACATCTTGCCTTCGGGTTGTTATCCAGACTTTTTCCAAGATTTGAGATTCAGGCGGCCAGCACAATCTGGTTAAAAAGATGTTCCCTGGGTTACCTTTTTAGTAGTTGAGATACGGTTTACCGTGTAAAATTGTGGGAGAGAGGCCCGTTAATAGGACCAAGGTTAAGGTGATCGTATTATGCAGAACTCTAATTCGGGGAGTGTTATAGGCCATTTCATTGATCTAGATATTCGATTGCTATCTATGTTCAACTAAATTAGCTTACACTGCAACATATATATTTATATATATACAAACACTATTTGGTGTATGAGCGAGCTTTTGGTTGGTAAATGATCTTACAAATGTCCTAGGCCGTGTGGTTACACCAATCATATTGTTTTTATAGTCGGCCTTTGATGTTAAACTTTTGATGTATTATGAGTTTTAAAAGTGGTATTTAAAAAAAATTGTTAGTTAAAAATATTTTTAACAAAAATATTAATTAGTATTCAGTAGAAGTAATTGTAAAAAATGATTATTTAAAAAAATAAATTGCATCTTTGGTTAAAATAAATATTGAGGTTTTAAATGTAAATTTTTTTATAAAAGCAAAATTTATTTTTTAAAAATTATATATTATAACTTTTTGTATTTTACTTATTTGATTGTAAAAGTGCATTTTCAAAACCAGATTAAAACAAAAAATTGAGTCAGACGCACTGAAATATTGGGAAAGAGGAACAAATTTACAGGGAAAGAGAACTATGATATTTATTTTTCGAGTCTAACTAGAAGAATTTTATTTACTTTGAATAAATAATTTTGTTTATTTTATTATTGATATTCCCAATTTTTCGCGGGAAGGATTTAGTCTTCCTTTTGTTGGAATATCAATGAACTGCAATCAATTAATTAAAATGCAAATCTACTCACCAGCACAATTGTTTTTAATTACAATAATATAAAAATTATATATATATAATAGATTTTTTTAAAAGAAAAAATATTATAATAAAAAACATATATATATATATATAATATAATAAAATTATTAATATCTTTATTACAATAATATTAGTATATTATATTATTGGTAATTATAATTGGTTTGGTGGTGAAATTTGATGAAATTATCCTGAAAAAAATGAACCTCATTATTATAAATCAAGTTACTGAATATTTCAAACAAATCTTGAGATTGAAAATTACCCATTATCCAATAAAAACCTAAGATTCCTAATAATAAACTAAAATCCCATACACCATTAGTTACAAAGGCTTTTTGACCAACATTTGATGATACAATAGGTCGTGTGAACTAAAAACTTATTAATAAATAAGAACACATTCCGACTAATTCTCAAAAAATATAAACTTGTATCAAATTAGAACTAGTAACTAATCTCATAAGCAAAAATTCTCAAATATCCTTAATCATGATATATATAACTGTCATTATAAATAAGAACTAAAATTCCAACTTACTTTCTTACGATTATGAGATTCATTTAAATATGAAATCCAATCTTAGAAATATAGCATCCCCCCTTTCTTTTTACTACCCAAGGTTTTGATACATTTCAAAATTGAGAAATTTATACTGGAACGAGTGTTATTCAAAAACAATTAGCCGATCTAAATTTGTAAATTATTATAGATTATTCATTGTTAGAATTAAAAGAATTAGGAGAAGAGGATCTCATAGGAAATGAATGGGAAGATCGAAAAATTAGAAGAAGAAATGATTTTTTAGTTTTATAAAAACTTATGATTTCTTTGAAATATTATAAACAATTTCTGTCGATTGAACACCATTTTTAAAGAAATTTAAAATTGTAGGAACGTTTAAATAAATTTGATTATTTATTGGACCATAAAAATTCACTTTCCGAAAATTCTTTCATTTTCTTCAAGATTAAACATATATTATATCAATTTGATAAACAGCTCATTGGGATAGATGTAGATGAATACTACCCCTCCTAGAAATTATTAATAATTATTGTTTGATCATAATATTCTTCTATTTTAAAATCTGTATGTAATTGATTCAATTTTAAAATTATTAATAATCATTGTTTGATCGGTACCTACTAATTTTTGTTCATACGAAGAAATGAAGAATATATTAATTTTTAGAAAATAACAAATTGATTTAATGACTTATTAATATAATATAAATTTAAAATTAATCGTCTGTTCTCGTTGGACCCGGGTTCGAACACTGAGTATCGCAAAAGTGTTGAAAAAAATTGTGTTGGTGGGCTCCATAATCATTCTTTATGCAATTAATTTTCCTTTCGCCTTTTCGTTCTCCTTCAGCCTTTAATGATTTTCTCTTCATCTGAGACGGAAACCAAACGCCACCTTTCCCTTCTGCAACCAAAGATCGAACGAAGCTCTATTTTCCCTTTCCTTTTTATACTCTGTCCTGAGTCTTCACTCTCATCTTGGTTTATACCTCTTTTTCAAACAGAATCTCCATATCTTCTCTTGATTTTTCTTCCTTTTTCAACCGATAGCACCGCACTTCCCTAGTCTCAATTGCAGCAGGAAATATCGGCGTCCTTCACGACACCACCATTCAACGTCGCCTCGATTTTTTCCTCAAGCTCATTGGCGCCATTTTCTATCCTTCCTCTTCTTCTAGAGCAACTGCATCTCATTTTCTTCTTCCACCAGCTGCCGCGTGCTCCTCTTCATCTTCTTCAACACGGCTCGTGTTTAAGTATACTTCTGCGAGTGACAATAGTTAGACGCTTAACAACGATCCTCGCACTTTTTGGGATCGAGGTTTTTTTCTTCTGCGGTAGTACTGTAATCTAAACCTTGGAAGAGCCACTTGCCTCTTGACTTATTCTTTCAGGTCCTCCATCGTCGGTATTTTTCTCTTATCTGTGCGAATAGATGTCTGGCTCAGCTTCTCAAATTCTGTTGCTCTATTTGAATTTTCATTTGATCTCTCATGAATATATGCTGTGTAATTGGTATAGCGCCGTGAGTTTGGGTTCCCTTATTTTCTCGTCTTTCTTTTCAACAGTGATCATATCTTATTTTCTTGACAAACTTGGTTGATAATATAAGTTTGATATGCTCTTCAGTTTTCTCTTTTTTTAGCCGGAAACAATATATTTGTTAATTAATTAGAAGTCCGCAAGCTTGGTCAATGGATGAAAGTGTGTGTATGTATCGGTCTCATTTAAAACCCGTTTTCTTCATTAGGGTTTTGTCAACGGATGTTCCACTTTGAGGATGGTTGCAACTCGGTAGTCATTTGTGCATTTGATAGTATGTATTTGTTTATGTAATAATGTAGATTCACAGTTTGTAAGATCATATTTCATATGTTTGTGGTCGTTGTTAGTTTAACGAGTATAGATTGCATTCTTTTGGCAACTTGTGATTTTGCTGAAATGACCGGTTTTGTTTATTCCACATAAGACTTTAAAGGTTTTGAAAAATGTTATTGCAGGATGCATGGTGTTCTCATGTCAATTTTAAGATGCAAAAGTTTGTGCTGACTTGGTTGTATCTGTTATATTGGTTCATCATTTCAGTGTTTCTTGCCTGGCCATGGTTAATTTGTTGTTATTGTACTTTTGTATGTATATCTTGACTTTCCTTCCTTTCTCTCTTGTTTTACTCTTCTTGTCTGGTAACTGTTATTATAACACACTAAATTGCCTCAAACAAGCAGTTTGATTTAGTAGAAGGTGGCCTTTCATTTGATTAGATTGAGATTTTTTGTGTATGAATATCTTTTTATATGTATTTTTCTTTTCTAATGTTTCTTTTCTCCAGTCTTGTTTATATGTTCACATATTTCTCTGTTTTATTTTTTGATCTGAGCTTGGACTACTGGAGCCAAATGTGCCATAACATGCATAGATTGTTTCCATTCCATGTGCCCACGAATATCTGGTTTTATGTGTTATCCTTTCCTTAAGCATAATTTCAACATTATCTATGTTTATGGTACTACTTAGTTTGTCATATAAATTCAGCTTAATTTTGAAACTAGATTCTCTAGATCCAACATGGTGCTTATCTTTTATTAACTTAGTGTAACCATACTTGACATGTAATAGTGTGTTTGTTCCCTTTATTATTTAGGTTGGAGCTGATAGACCTGCTTACGAATTTTGCTAAAGGATGGACAGAACATCTCGGGGTAAAGAAAAAATATCACAGAAAATGTCAATAGGTAGTGATTCAAGGCACTCTAAGTCCAAAGCAAATTCAAGTTATGCCTATGTGCCAAAGAAACATTCTTCCAATAGAAGAGATGGATTATTACAAACAGGAGGATTTTGCCAGGGTGAAGAACTCCATGATGCCAAGGGCACTGGTTTCAGACAGGACAAAGGATTTGTTTCACACTTAGTGCGGAAGGATGATATCTTATCATCACCGTCTCAATCTGGATCTGTTAACGTACAGCTGAATGCAAAAATGAACATGAGAGCATCTCAAACTGTAGGGTTAGGGAATGGCTCTGGATTGCATGGTGAGCTTATCTACAAGGTTAATGATACCTGTCTGAAACCTGAGGATGATGCTGATCTGCCCCATAAAGGTAGGATTACGGGCCAGTTGTCTCAAGAAAAGAATCACAGGAAGTCAATGGGTTTTCATGACTCAAGTAACTCTAAGCAGCAGGCAGAAGTTGATCCTTTTGATATTTGCATGATCAATAAGAGTACTTTTACACTAAAACCATCTCTCTTTGCAAATAATAGAGAAAAGAGGAATCAAATTAAGCACTCCATTGAAGGACGAAATGGAAGAGTATTAAGATCTGGAATGGTGCTTCTGAAGAAATTCTTATCACTGGATGATCAGGTATTGTTCCCTTTATCTCTCTCCTCTCTAGCTTAATTTTAATCCTTGAATACCTTAATGAGCTTTCTTTTGTACTTCCCAAAGACTCTGTTAATATCTTTCAAGTATAACCTCGAGAAGCACAACAGTTACGTTCAACATGCGAAATTTCATTTAAAACCAGGTTACATTTATTAGAGTTCTTTGAACCTTTATCTAGAATTGATTAGGTTTAGATGTGTATGCTACTCTTTAGTCTCTTCTCTTCTTTTAGTTGTACTTTTTTCTTGTTTCCATATTAGGTACTTTAATTGTTTTACTTTTCATCATTGTTATCTTACAGGTCAATATAGTGAAGGTATGTCGAGATATTGGTCTGGGTGCTGGAGGTTTCTACCAACCAGGCTACCGTGATGGAGGAAAATTGCATTTGAAAATGATGTGTCTTGGCCAAAATTGGGACCCAGACTCTGGTCAATATGGAGATTTTCGGTTGATTGATGATGCAAAACCGCCCTCAATTCCTCTTGATTTTCTGCAGTTTGTTGAAAATGCAATAGGAGATTCTCATGCCCTTATAGCAAAGAATTCAGCCAATGTAGAAGACATACTTCCGTGGATGTCACCAAACATCTGT